GTGTCAGCAGGAAGCAGGGGAAAATGCAAAGCAAGTGTCACAGAGGCAGCTTGGGGACCACTCGGCACAAGGCTCCAAAAACTCAATTTGTTACCGGGAAGCAAACTGACTGAGGTACAGATGATTCAATAGGTATTCTGGCATTTCCACGTGCGTCCTCCATGCTCATTGCCAGAGGTGGCCCTGCCTTCCTTTCATTGTTGCCTCAGTTGCAACGACTCACCTTGCGATTGGATGTCACACATTCCTCCTGTGGCTCAGATTCTGACGCAAGAGCTCGTGGCAATTAGAGTCACCAGTCACTTTGCTGCACGTCAAGCCATAGTAACTGCTGAGCTCCATACTAAGCACGTGGATACAAACCAGACTCAACAAGCACTGCGCTGCATGGCCAATATTAATTGTTCTGAGCCTACCATAAGATTGTTTCAGTGGATAGTAAAGACCAGTACACATAAATCTTAAGTCCACATAAAATGGAAAAGATCCCACATGTTCTTACCGCTCTTACAGTATGTGGCCTAGGTGGGAGTAAGTCACATACCATGGATATAAAAAGTCTTCACACCCCTGTTCAGATGCCAGGTTTTAATTATATTAAAAATGACACCAAATAAATCATTTCAAAACTTTATCCACCATTAATGTGAAGTATAATTTGTTCGAGTCAAATTTAAAGTGTTTCTGATCAACTCCAAATAACGTTCGGCTGTTTGAATAGACCTTTTTTTTCCCCTGCCATTATTGTATTGACATTTTACAGCACAAACCGTGGTCTGCAAAGAGCTTCCACAGTATTAGAGAGGTATAACTGTTCAGGAGAAAGGTTGAACAGATTTAATATACAGTATCTTTATTTGTATCAGTTTATACCTCCAATATATGTTTGGAATATCAATGAATAATTCCAAACACAGCACAATTTCACACAAGATGATGACAACAGAAGTTGGATTTGAACACTCGGTCACAGTTCAGTCCCACTTTTGCTTTGTTACTTTGAGTCTTGTTTTATGGACTTTTTAAATTTCATAAAACAATTTTCAATATTTCAATATTTCAAAGTGCCTTGATTGCCTTTTTTGTTGTTGTTTTTTTACATTTTTAAAAGTACAGTAAATACTTTTTGGGATTCCTGCAGTCCTTGCCTCCCCATTGTGCTGCACTTGGACCCTCCAATGCCAGGAAAACCTTGTTTGTAACAAATTCCCAGGAATTGAACCGGAAACCAGAATTGCAGTTTGATGTGGGTTGGGGAGAGTCAGCCTGTCAGTGCTCAGACTCTATGCTACATTGCATCAAATTGGTCTTTATGTTCTCATCCCAAAAGGAAGCCTGTTCTCCACAATCAGTTTCCTGAATTGTGAAGAAATAGATTTTCTCTTAATGCAGTCTCCACAGGGTGTATGCTGATGTTCAACGTATGTTTTGTGGCAAAGCATCGCCGGAATGGTAAACACTTGGGACATGGCAATAGGTGGTGGTGGTGGGGAGCACCTCACGCCAGTGGGTGTTCTGCTGATGGCGAATGATGTTGCTCTTCTCCCATCTCATTCCACCTTAACAAATCGCAAACATGCCATTGTTCTTCAGCTCTTGGACAGCACACCTATAAAACATCCAATCTTTATTTACTTCCAGAGGAGCCAATCATGAGTCACGACGAGTGTCAAAATAAATTAGCAGAGGATATTAATAGCAGCCAAGGAGAGATGCTATCACCAAAATGTATGCTGATATGCAGTGCCCTTTTTGCTTCCACAGATGCTCACCAGTCCGCCTTCCTTCCCCTCTGTCTTAATATTGTGTCGTCATGGTGATGGGTTTTCGTCTTTGTGTCTAATTAAAGAGAGAGGCTTTAGATGTATTGATTATCTGAGATCACAGACTAACTCCCCTCCGATAGCTTTCTCTGTGTCGTCATCAGACAGCCCATCTTTAATTAGACACTCGTGGGTGGATTTATAAACAAATATGTGTTTTCCCTTCAAACTTTGCGGAGAACATTTTGTCCGAGAGCTCACCAATGTGACCTTTGCTGTGACAGTAAACACCTTTTTTCTTTTGCTCAATCCCTCCTTTGGATGTATGAAAACTCGAAGCGTCCTGCTGTGTGTCGGCAATCAAAAATCATGTTCTAGATTAAAACACATAGTTTCCATAGTTACCAGAGGGAACGGATAGGAAAGGGATGAGGCACAGCTTTCAGGCAGCTTGTCACATCATGAAACTTCCAAGGCTCCTCTCGCTGTAGGAGCAACATTATGTAACGAAGAGGCGCCTTCATCCACATGGTCACAATTAGCAACAACTTTTATCTTTATTATTCTCATTTTGACTTGTCCTTGAAAGTGTCTCATCCTCATGTAACCCTCTGAAAATCTCATTCTGGTGTGTGGTTACACTGCTCACCAAATGATATGCAAATGTAAACAGGGGCACAATTGCCTCCTAAGTCCAAATAATGGCACAGCACAATGGCAGGCCAGGCAAAAGAAAGACTTCAAAGCAGCATCATTGTTTTGTGTTGTCATTTGATTATCTCTAAATAGAGCAAGCCATCCCTTTCAAGGAAAGGGCTAATAATATGCTCACTCACATCCATCTTATTCTTCACACATGATTCCCTTGTAATTGTTTTCCCCCACTTTCCAATCAGGACACCATATCCCACTACCCTTCACATCATAAATAATATGACGAGCACTATTCTTAGAAAATTTGACAAGCCATATCTAAGCCCTGTAAGAGGAACAGAGCATTCTCCACGTAGTAGTTTTTTTCAAGCAAATCAAGCAGGCTGAATCGAAAAGGTCCTCAAGTTGCTGTGTAAGGATGCTTGACGTGCAGGTTAATAACGCCTGACGAGAAGAGGTGACTTTGGGTGACCTTGCTGGTTTGACATGGTTTGATGGCTGTATTATTATTACTATTATTATTATTATTTTCCCTGAAGTCCTCAAAGGAGCTTTGCATGGCTCATTGGGTGTGCTGTGCTTTAATCCACAGCTCCCACTCTGCAAGGATCACCAGCAAGCTGTTGGGCAGAAGGAAAAAGTAGTGGAATAACCCACTCTTGTGGCCAATCGTGTTGCTGCACTTACTACAACACATGCAGCAGCTCATGATAAAAATAAAAACATTCATGTATTCCATTGTTTATGCCCTCCCTTTTCCCCACTGTATTTACCAATGACTTTGTATTCATGACTTTATATTGCTATAGTCACATTCAACCAAGATGAAATGCTAATAGCACTTGGGCACCTTAACATGGTACAAAATGTTCCAAAATGCCATGACCAAAAGTGAATGCGACAAAATATAGAGCAATTCCCCAACACACATATTTGACAGTGGAAAAAATTCATGGCATGCCATCAAGCATGCTGGTCATATTGTATTGCATATCACTGGCTTAGGGCCGAAACCCTGTATCTCCAAAATAGCCACTTTTCAGGAGACCCCAAAAACGGCGCCTTTGGTCACTCATTATCATTGTATTATCAAAGAGGACAAGTCATTTTCAACACTTTAGATTAGGCTATAATTTGTTCAAATAACATCCACGTGTGTGGATTGACCAAAAGTATAGACTTTTGAAAAAAAAATTACATTTACCAAATTGTGACTTATGAGGTTACGGCCCAACGCCAATGCTATATAAAAAGCCATATCTCATAAATAGGGACGTTCAATACCAGTTTTTTTATTGGGTGTGCTGTGGATGAGAAGCCTGCTCAACTCAAATACTCACAGATACCCATACCAAGTAACCAATACCACTAGTAATTTTGATACATAGAATTTCTGTTAATCCAATTCCTACCAGCATTCATATAAAACCATACAAACATACATATAATTGCAGAAATCGCATTTTAATGGTATTGGCTGCTGTTTCAGTTACTCAATACCTTGAAATGAGGTCTGCCCTAATAATTAAAGTCTACATAAAAATATAAAATAAATAGATATTTCATTCCTACCATGAATTACTGTAAAATAAATAGATATTTCATTCCTACCATGAATTACTGTACATTGCCACGAGAGCATGGAACATTGATTTAAGGTGAAGCTGTTCGTCTGTGACAAGTAATAAACAGGGATGGTGCTACATCGGGGCAATGGGATGCTATAGTCCGGTCAGAAATCTGTGTAGTTCACAGGTGTCAAACTCAAACGTCATTTTACGTGCAAAAAAAAAAGAAATTCATGTGTGTCAACTTGCATGATCCTTGCTAAAATCTGTACCGAAATGTCAAATTGTCAGGTGTAATAAATAACGTTGAGATTGTGCAACAATTTTTGTTACCCTGTTTACACTCACGTGAGCAATAATTGGCAAACGATTATAATTGACTGATTTCTAAACTAGTGCTCGATAAATTTGTTGGTTTCACTGTCATAACGGAAGACGTAACTCCAAAGTGGCCCGTGACAAGAATGAGTTTGAAGCCACTCCAGCATCTAATTTGATATTCAAAAATATAATTTTAAACTATTTTCTTAGCCCCGCTGTGTATCGGTCAAATCCCACTGTAGTTCCGGGAGAAAAAAAAAACTCCTGGAGCCGTGCCTGATAGTAAGTTAAACTACTGCTCATATTAATCCAAAATAATTTCCATTTGCTGAGTGTACTGAATATTCCCCATTCTTTATCACATATTATGTGAAACTACGATGACCGGGAGAGCAAGTTCTTCTTTTTTTTGGAACCATTTGACAACACGAAGAAGTAGGAGTAACTTTGCCCTGTTCTCGGGTGAAAACATAGAACTAAATCTAATAGAAATATCTCCCCGTTAACTTGTGTACTGTGTCGAAAAACAACACTTTACACAAACAACACCGTTAATACTTTTAATGAAAAGTGTTATTAAATATTGACTTCAGAGAGGTGATAAATGACACGAAAGGTTTTAATACGCCGTGTTATGAAGTGCTGTGACGCGTTTGCGTGTCTCTTTGTTGTATGTCTATACCCCAACTCCTCCCCTCATGGTTCCCTTGTGCTGCTTGATGTCTACGGACGGGGTACAGCGCACAACTCTTCGAAGCTGCTCGAAATATTACTTAAAAAAGACAAGGTGGACGATGCCACAACCGGCCTTTTGTTTATGGAGTCCGTGGGAAGGGTGACGGTTCAATCACGGAAGCTTTGTAGCTGTTTCCACAGCATAAAAAGAAGCACTACCGCAGTATTTTTTTAGCTCACTTGTGAAAGGAATACACAAAAAATGTCGTCTCCAAGTCCGGGCAAGAGGCGAATGGACACCGACGTGGTGAAACTGTATCCTTCTTACAATGTTAAAACACACACTCACTCGATTATAAAAAATGACTTTTTAATTTTGGACAGGCGTTACTTGGTGGTTGTTATGCTCTCAACAACAATGGAATATCGGGAAAAAGTGTTTTCCCACGTATTTGTCAATGACACGGCTTTGTCGAGCATTTGCATTATATTTACGAAGTTGTATGTGTTTAATGTACTTTGCTTTTGTCCACATTCGATGTGTTTCCACTGGGTCAACTAGCCCTTGTTTGCATCGCTGTCATCTACTGTACGTTAGTGGCTAACTCCGGTTGTTTTCAAGCAAGAAAAACAAGCAAACAAAATAAACACGTCGTCAGCGCACTCTTTCTAAAGCACAGCCGATCGACAGCACATTTTGTTAAGAGCAAAGGTTGACATTGCTGCCGTTCGGAGTCAGATACGCTTGTATTCTTTCACAGTTTTGATGAACGGTTGCTAGCTGAAAGAAAACAAACGAAGGCAATGCTAACATATTTTGGGTTCGTAGGTCGAGCAATCGATATGTTATGGCGATAAAACTGTGACCCCCATTGGCATATTTTCAATGACAAAAAGAATTATTGCAACAAAGTCACGGTTTCTCGACTTTGAAAACAGCAAATTCCTAAAATGTGACTTGTTAGCCTTCGATTTTAAGGTCGCATAATGATTTTATTTGCTGTCAGTCTTTTCTGGAAAAATATATGTTAAAATCTATTTTTAACGTATATTTCAATTTTTTTCGCTGTCGGATGAATTTACTTGAAAAAGGTGTTGTCGGGCCGCGTGAGCTCAATTGTTTTGTTTTGGTCCTGCAGCGAGGCGCCTCATTCTGATTGGTCAGCCTGTTACCATCCGGAATATGGCTGAGGGCGGGGCGTAAAACACATTTCGCAGCTGATGTGAGGAAGAACATGTGCGACCAGGCCCCAAAAGACTGAAGCTGGTTTTGTCAGATTTTCCACCACTCAATAATTGGGCTGAGCAATAGCAAAAGCATCGATTTACATTTATTGCATTCAGTATTTATTCTTGTAATTTTGTTGTGCTTTTCTAGGCAGCACTACCTTGATGAAGCGTATATTTTATTGTCCAATTAGATTTCAATCTACTTGTGCGACCAGGTCAATCCAATCTAATCCGCTCAGGGCCTTCAAAATGAGTACCGCAGGCCAATGTAGCTAAAAACTATATTAACAATGAATAATGTCAAATACACCCAGACAAGGTCAGTGGGCGTCTTGTGTTTTTCACTCTGGTTGGTGTGAGCAAAATTCATTAACCGCCAACTTTGATTAGCAAAATATAGCTGTTTAAATTGGAATCATTATTTTGTATATTATTAGTATTTGAATGTGCTGAAAGAGATTAATGAGATGATGCATCTCAAGGGGGTAAAAAAAAGGCAAAAAAAACAAAAACAAAAAAAATACATTAACTTGCACAGCAAAAGCTTCAAGTAAAAAGCATTAAAATATGTAATGGAAAATGTGACTGAAGTCATTAAATTACCATCCATGTTTTATAGTGCTTGCCCTCATTCAGGTCCTGGGTAAACTGGAATCTGTCGCTACTGACTTTGACTGGGAGGTGGGATACACCATGGATTGGTTTCAGTCCAATCGCAAGGCGCATACAGAAAACCAATCAATGAACCTAACATGTTCTTGGTATGCAGGAGGAGCATGAAGTCCCTCTAGACAAGCAGGGAGAATGTGGAAATGAGAGATTATGGATAGGAAATGTCAGGGAAAAAAAATCAGCCTCTTGAAAGAACAGAGTCATTTTTGACTGATGTGTCCGACAGGTACAGTATGCATCTACTGTTATGCTTATAGGTGAAGTGTTGTAGAACTGGCCTGCGTCATGCCAACAACTGTTTCTGATGTCTCGTCACTCCTGCAGTTAAATTCCTGTCTTTGTAACAGTGCCAATCAAAATTGAGCATTATTCTTGTTCTGTGTGTTCTGCTTGTTTATAAATAAGTTTAATGAGCACTTTGTTCTCTTTGTTGCATTGCTGAAATGGTGCAAACTGTCGGTCGTTAAGTGGTTTAGTGTTTTTCAGCTGTCATTTTGGAACATGTTACTCACTCAACTCATGACTCTAGGATGCTGTGATCATGACACAAGACCTAACCGTAAGCAGTCATTCATGTTCTACCACACCTGATGGACAAAACAGGCATGATGTCCACATGCCAAGGTGGCTTAGGCTTAAAGACAGCGCTTTGGGCAAAGAGGAATGTGACTCATAAATAGTCACAGAGCAGGCTCACCCTCTTGACGCCGCTGTCAGTTCTCACACTCAAAAGGGACATAATAATAAAAAAATATAAATACATTTTAATGCCTTGTATATGAGTGAGTACTATAAGATTTTGTCTGGCGAGTTCGGAAAATGTCCATGAGATGTTTTGCACTTTGACTAGTTCACAGAACTACAACACCCATGTTTCTCCGCTCATGACTTTCTCAACAAGGCTGGGCCACTATCAGACAAGCACTATCATGTGGTTACAATAGGCCCTGGCTACAAAGTCAAAGCCAAGTGGTAAGTAGAGCTACACGGTTTAGTTGGATGCATAGATTACCATGGTGCTGAACCCGACTGAACTGTCGCGCAGTGTGTGGGATTTGGCAGCGAGCTTTGATGCCTGTCTATCAGCCCAGTTTTTGTGGGATTCAAAATTTGAACTGCAGGTGCACAGAGTTGCAAATTTTCATATGTAACAGCCAATAAAAAGTTAACGAGCTTTCAACCCCCCCACCTTCGAAAAACCGTTTTGGGCAGACCCAAGTGGATACTGCCAAGCGATACCGATAGGGTAATCAATCATTTACAACAACTTGTCCGTCTATCCATCCATTTTGAACACCGCTTATCTTGAACAGTGTCGCAGGGGGTTGATGGAGCCTATTCCAGCTGACTTTGGGCAGAAGGCGGACTACACCCTGAACTGGCCACCAGCCAGTCGCAGGGCACATGTAGAGACAAAAAAAAAACATTCACACCCACATCCACACCGTCACAGAGTGGGAACCTATCTGACACATCCTGCACGTAATTCAGGCGAGTGTACCACTACACCCTCAGTGACTACGACGACTTGTCAAAATATTCAAATTGTTTCCTTATTTTCTCTTTTTGGGAGTCAACTTTCTTGATAATTGCGTCACGTTTTTGTGGTTCACTTCAAAAAAAAGAAATTATAACGATTGCATGTGGAGCCTCAAAACCTCGGTGCTTAATCGTTTGGTGCGTGGGTATTTGTCCCGCCTTAACGTCTGATAAGTTAAATACACGTTGACCTTGGGTGGCATTTGTGGTTGATAATGTGTCCGTGTGCCATGCACCATGAAGTGCTGCCTTCACGAGTGAAAATACATTGTCTTTGTGGGCGCTCTGTTTGCCCCTCATACGCTGGTCTTTGTTGCTTACAAGGAGAAGCCACACTAAGGCATGACAACCAGGGGCTGCCCCTGGTTGTCATGGTAACAAAAGCCAGACTTGCCATTTGCCGTTTTTATAACGTGAAGTAACATTTAAAAACTACCGGTAGGGAAAAATAGGGAAGATCTCAAAAGATCGCCAAAAAAATATATATTTTGGGATTCAGTGACACCAAAATACCCTGAAACTGTTGAAACTTTCTTGTCACCAAAATGTGTTGTTGACCAGTGTCATTAGTATTATGATTGGTAGTTTTGCCGGAATAGGTTTTGAGCTGCATTATTTGATCTCCCTGTCACGGAGCCAGCTGTTGATTTACACACTTAACATCTCAAAGGAGAAAGTAAAACGTTTGCTTCTTGTCCAGCATCCTCTTGTGTTGTGTGTTTCCCCATCTCGTGGTGTATTTCCTCAACCCGGCATCAGCATAGAGAGCAAGCACGAGGTCACCATCTTGAGTGGACTCAATGAGTTTGTGGTCAAGTTCCACGGTCCTTCTGGAAGTAAGAACGACTTAAATTCAACCTCATATTGTTTTACCTACAAGGAAAGCACAATTTGGTTTTGGATCATTCCATTTTGAAATCCTGGTTTCCGTCTCCTTCCAGCACCTTATGAAGGAGGCGTGTGGAAGGTCAGAGTAGATCTACCAGAAAAATATCCCTTCAAGTCTCCATCAATAGGTGTGTATTGTTATTTTTGTTTGTTTGTTTGTGGGACTTCGGTTTATTAATATCACTCGTCCAGTATTTAAAAATCACGCCTTCCTACATTTTTTTTATAAACAGGTTTCATGAACAAAATATTTCATCCCAACATTGATGAAGCGTGAGTAATTTTTGATTGTCCTATGATTGTTCAGTATTCCACTCACCCTTTTAACCTCTAGGGGGTCCTCGGTTTACAACGTAGTTCTGTTCAGCGGTGGTGTAGTCTATTAGTAACACAGTGGTAGAGTCATAAGTACATTTTTGTATGTGCGGAGTTGTTATCCTTTGTATTTGGGGTAGGAAATGTTTTCTTTTATTTACGGCTGCTTTGTTATTCCTGAGTCAGCGTGCTTCTTGATGGGGTTTCACGTCACAATTTACAGAGTGACAGTTTTTGCCGCACTCACCTGCAAGAAGCGAAGCCGTGACGTCGCGGCGGGGACAGCTTTCTTGGCATGGCCGTCTCCCCAATTCAACATGTATTTTCTTGGTCAGATTCTGAAGAATCTTGAGTCATTCTCAAAATTTTCCAGAGTCAATACTAATGGAAGGTCCTTCAGTCCGTCACTGACGGCGCCTGTTTTGCTGACTATGTCAGATGAGGCCAGGTTATTTTCCATTCCAGCATCCTGTGGTGGTTCGTTTATTATTGGAGTTTAATTTTAATTCGGCGTATTTTGGCCACCTACATTTTAAGAGCCACGCTATTTGCCAGATGAAGGGGAATGTAACACACTCGAGTTCCTCCAGAAGCTGACTTGATTGCCAATGTGTGTGTGGATTAGTAAGTGCCTCAATTTTAAGTGTGATTTGTGTTAACAGCCAAACACAGCATTGTGAACTACAGACCATGTTACTTTGTGCCGCTGAGCCAATAGGAGCGCTTGGCAAGGAAATGACTGGCTAATCCTACCTATTTCCTTGTCATTGCTGTTATGTACAAAAACATGATGTTCACTTTTTTTTTTTTTTTTTTAATGCTGGATCTAAATTTCACGTGTAGAAACATTCAGTAAGCACCTGAACAAAAATCCGTCGACCTCCAAGCATGGCAGCTGCGTGTGTGTTTAGTGGTCTATGATGTCATGGGAAAACTGTTGCGGCTCATCATTCGCCCCCCCCCCCCATTCATAAACTCGAAATCCCGTATGTCAATACCGTGATAAACCGACGTTCCCTTGTACTTTGTAACCTCTTTGTAGTGTTTTACAAAGGTAACCTGTTACATTATTCTGACAGCGTTGCATGTCCTCTCAGGTCAGGAACAGTGTGTTTGGACGTCATTAACCAAACATGGACGGCACTCTACGGTACGTCACTCACACTCCAGTTTTGACATTCACTGAAAGCCCTTCTTCAGTTACTTAGTGACCATGCTATCCGCAGTGTTCAACTTTGAAGTTATAGGAGCATCACACTGGTCAACATCAAATTTTAATCCGAGTTGGCTTTATTTGTTCGGAAATGTGTTTTTGAGGGCATATTTTAAATCAGCGCAAAACATTCATTGAATAAAGTTGACATGTATCTCTGAATTAAAAAATGAGTACACATTTGATGACCAGCATTACTTGCCTAACATGTCACTGCTGAACTGTTGTCATGTTCAAGCGTTGTTCGCACAATAAGACAAACAGGCCAGTGCCGACATTTGCCTATAGTAAAGTATACAGCATGTTCTCGATGAGTATTTAGAAGCCGAGACAGGAAGCTGTGTGGCATCGAAGGCAGCAAGGCAATCACATTTTATGCCCCCCACACCCCAAGTGTGAATGTAACCAGCAACTTCACTGAGATGCAAATCAGCAAATGTCAGTTGAGCTTCTGGTTTGACTGGCCGATTGGCAGCTGAGGGAACACTGGCGAACTGGATTAACCATCGAAACTGGACAAAGATGACAGATCACGTTCCAAAACTTCAGACTGTCCTTTTTGGAAATGTAATTCATTCAAATCAATTAGAACAAACTCATACAAAATACATGGATGAAAGAAAAAATGATAATAGATCAGTATGTGTTGCATTTACGGACTGATGTGACTGTCAAACACACGATTGTCTCTCATCTGCACTTTTTCCTCCACCGTATCTCACCTCCAGACCTCACCAACATTTTTGAGTCCTTCCTGCCTCAGCTGCTCGCCTACCCCAACCCCATCGACCCACTGAACGGGGACGCCGCCGCCATGTATCTTCACCGACCGGAGGACTACAAACACAAGATCAAAGGTGTTATGTGACAATAGGATGCTCCAAATACTTCATCATTCACACGTTAGTCTGCACAAAAAACAAAAGTGTTTGTCATACATGAACCACAATAAAGCGTGTGTTCATTGTATTACGGGCATTTGCCCCTCGGAGTTTGGATGAGGTAGCCCCATATTTCCTGCTTGAATCTCCTACCTAACACCCACTTCTGTCTTTTGTCAGAGTACATCCAGAAGTATGCCACGGAGGAGGCGCTAAAGGAGCAGGAGGAAGGTGGCGGGGACTCCTCCTCTGAGAGCTCCATGTCAGACTTTTCTGAGGACGAGGCTCAGGACATGGAGTTGTAGTTCTTATTTAAGGCTAGACTTATTTTTTACAGCGGGATTTTTATGGCTACCTGGGCCAGCGGCACACCTTGCTCCAGGATTCATCATCATTGGGAGTCCGGACTGAGGAAGCTATGGAAGAAACTATGTCGATTCATCTTTATCATTCATTCTACTTGGAACTGCAGCATCCACAGATGCGGTGGAAAAAGTCCAACAAAGAAAGCTGCAGTGTGAGTGTGTGAATGTAATCCTGATGATTAGCGGGACTCAGGAGAGACACTGTCCGTTCTCCCGATGTCCCGTTCTTCCTCTCCGTTTTAGGAAAGTTGTTGTTCTTCTCTTGAGTATCTTTTGTGATTTGGTGTGGCATGACAGAGAGTTTTGTAGGATTTGTCAGTAGTGGGAGGACACCAGGGGCCTGGCCGCACATCGAGTCAGCTCATGTGAGAATTTAGTTGGATTTTGTATGAAAACCTAGTTGAAAATGGTCACTTTTTTAAATACACGTTTTATGAAGTCCATGCGATCAGTTATGCAGTTTAGCAAGCTCGCTAGTTGGTTAGCAAGCACGTTGTTGGTTGGCTGGTTGGTTAAAAATTCTGTAGCTAGCAATTAGTCACCATAACTACGATTTTGTTAGTTAGGTAGCAAGTTGATAGGTAGTTGTCAAGCTACCCATCTAATTGGTCAGTAAGATGAATTTTAGTTTCCAGGATTATGCCAAAGCTACCTTGTTCAACCCTCTTTGAAACAAAGTATATATTTTTTTCAATTGTTATACCTAAATAGGACCATACTTATTTGTTTAATAATATGCCTTTGAAAAAAAAAAAAAACTTTAAAATGATGTAAAATATTTGTGGCAATTCTAGCATTTCAGTGTAGCATGTCGGCCATGTTGCGAAGAGTCTGGCCTTGTATTTCATAGTGCTTCCCTTTGTAGAAAAATGGAATGTGAGCAATAAATGATGCATTATATTTGGGACAATTTCCAGATAAATTCTCGTGAGAACAGGCTGCCTGCGGCATTCTGTGGGTCCTTGTTTCATTGTTGCCTATTGCTTGTACCTACTATACTAGTTGTTTGACTTGCGTAGGGATAGCTTTTGTTTCTTTTCTCGCAGTGAATCCAATAACACACATGTACATGTTTGGGTTCCTGTGAAGACGAGAAGGAGTAGGACTGGACTCGTTTCAATCAGATCTTATATGCAAAATGTAAAATGTTACATTGTCCAATTGAAGTGCTCTTTTTTTATTCCACCTACAGCCATTCCACATTCCAACAATACTTCTTTTGGTCAGTTGCTAGTTTGACGGCTGATTGCAGCAGGACCAAAAATGAAGTAGATCTACACTCAGAAAAGGTAGTAATACTGACGCATAGATACTATGGTAAATTGACTGTTATGTTTGAATGCATCTTTCATTTGATTCCTGTCAGGGAAAGACACCTGCACTCAAGATTTTTATAGACTTTGGAAACTCAAAAAAAGTTCATATAATTCTTGCAATCATCCTTGGATGAATAGTTCTAGAGTGGGGTGCACATATGTTGATCATATTAAAGTCCATTTCAAGTGAAAAGAAATGTCTTTCAAATTTGACAGCACAGACAAGTGTGTTGCTAACAACTGCCACATTTGAATGACAAAAGTGTTAAGTGAAAAATTGAAGTGTAGAAAACAAGGCTTCAAAATCATGAAATTTCAAGTCATTCTCTCCACGGTCAAACATTTTGGGTGTGTCCCCAGAATGTGCTGAATCTACACCTCGCTCAACTCTCAAATCAAATTCTACTACAATCTATATAAATGGATGCGAATTTGTCTTGCTTCTTTGTAATGCCGACACGTAAATAACAGTTTGGGCCACAAAAATATATCCGCCTGAAGCGTCCAGTGGTTGGAATATATTGCACTGGGAAATCATGGGTGCTTCCATGCCCCAACAACAAGGCGTGCTAAAATGGTCATGCCAAAACGAAGCCCCTGTCCACACTCTGGATGTCAAGTCGGACTTTAAATGCAAATATATAAATACTCTTACATCTTTTTCTACTTGACGTCTGCGCACTCTTAGCAGACAATGGAGCGATCAGGGCGGAATAGGAACATGGTGAAGAATGTCAAATTGCGGCCCCTGGCCATTCTCTGAGTAGTCAGGAAGTAAAAACAATTAACACACCCCATGACACAAGATAATCACTTACGATAATCTTTTCGCGACAGCCGACCGATAATCAGGCCTTTTCTGACTTTACTCAGAAGAAGGGAAACATAATTTTCAAATTTGGCCAGATACCCGGTAATCCATATTTGGGAACTAGGCATTAGTCGTGATAAATTGTTCCAAATAAAAAAAAAAAACACCTGGCTCATCAGCATGCACGCACACACACACACACACACACACACACACACACACACACACACACACGCGCACACACACACACACACACACACGTGCGTGCACATACATATATACACACACATATTTACATATGTGTGTGTATGTTTCCCGCTGACATATTTGATACCTTTTTTTTCTTTTGTGCTCCTCCCGGTCAAAATGCAAGTCAGATATTCAATATTTGTCTTTTTTTTTTTTTTTTACAAAAATAAAGGTAATAAATGTCCTCTTGTAACTTGAAAGAAATAAAAAAAGCATATATCACACAATGTCTTGGTGTCATTTTCATAATGCATAACAGAGATTTAGCTTTGTCAACATGCATTATGACTACAAAGTGTTGATAATTTACGATGGTGCTGATATCCATTGCTGACTTACCGAATTACTGTACCTGTATTAGCCGAACATGAACATTTTTTGTTTTGTTTTGTTTTACAAAGTCTGCTAACTAGTTAAATAATTAGCTTGGTACCAGTAATTAGCTAGCAATCTAAATTGTGAACGCTAGCAAGTAATTACCAATCAAGGTAATTTGTTCGTTTGCTGTTTAGGTCAAGGTCATCTTTATTGTCAAATATGCTTTATGTACAAGAACATTTTTATGTGGCTAAAGTTAAAACATAAAAATCATAACGTTTAAAATAGACAGCAACTCTGTCAAGCTGGTTTTCGTTTGATCGTTTTAAATTTATGGTCCAGAAGTGTTTTTCACACAAGCGTGTAATTATAAAATACATTAGCGGGGCCCAGATAAATCAAAAACAGATACACCTAATACATCTCGTGAGGGAAATTCAATTGTCGCAGCTGCAACACTCACACGTTTACACTTGTATTAATTTATCACTCGCACACAATGGAGACTTGTTCTATAAATAAACAGCCAATGACTACGGCGTATTCCGGTTTGCACGCAATTTCGGGTTTCGTCGTCATAATTGGAGCAAACCAAGAGCCCACTCGTGTTAGAATGTTGTCTCATTTGTCCACTGGAGGGCATCATAGTTAGAATTACAGCCGTTGCGATTCCAAACTATAACTACAGTCAAACATACAGAAGTGTTAAAAAATAAACAGTTATTAACCAACACTACTCCCTCTATTAGTTACAATCAAAAATAAGCATTATTTTTGTCAAGGCATTTTCGGGGTAGGGGGTATACAACTCTTTCAGGTACTGTATACCGGATGAATTGCCCTTTTGCAGTATGTCTACACAATTTCTACTGTTAACATTGACTCTGGACTCCTATGTTAGTTAATGACCCAATGAAATTATGGCATAACCTCTAAAAGTTAATTTTTGTGCTATACAGTAACGTTGTAGTGGCAATGATGATCTTATGAAATATTCATTTTTGTTTCTTTCATTTCATGAAATTTCAAATCTAATTCCGGCAGTTTAAATTTCAATTGCTATTCCGCTTTTTTGTCACCTCAATTCTCATTCAATTTCGAGAATTGAATCGGAATGTAGGGGCCATTCTGAATTCACTTATGAATTTCGTACAGCCTTGGCGTGCACACAAAGGCAACACTATGTCCATTGAACATATAGGTATTAAAATCTGCTCCATGATGCATGCAGGCGAGCAGGATGCACAAAAGACTCCACGAGTGGGTTTCGGTGTCAACTTTTGGAACGTTTGTAATCCAAACCTGGAGCGTCCCAGTCGGACACACGCAGTTTGTCAAGGATGACTCACCTGTTCTTGATCTCTCTCTCTCTCTCTCTCTCTCTCTCTCTCTCTCTCTCTCTCTCTCGCTCTCTCGATCGCTCGCTCGCTCTCTCGCTCGCTCGCCCCCGACACCCGAGCGCAATCTAATAATCACCGACAGCAGGTGAGTGATCCTAAGGAGGATACATAACGAGGACCGGAGGATTGGCGGGTGGTCAGAGAAACTTTGCGGGAGAAAGAAGTGCCGTGGCCGGGCTGCAGGAGGACGTCACAACCGCTCCGTGGATGATGGTAAACGTGTTTTTCGCACGGATCTTTTCACTCCAGCAAGGTAGAGGTTTTAATCCTAAAAAGTACATTTTCTAAACCACTGTAGTTTCCATCAAGATTTATTGCACATAAAACTTGGATTAAAGAGAGACGGGGGGGGGGGGCAGTTTTAAAACATTTATTAAGTACACATATTGCTTCATAGTTCACAGTTGGATAAAACTGAAATGCTCTTAACAAATGTACTACACAAAAAGTTTAAGCAACTGTGACATTATGTATAGTTTAGACATTTGTTAAAAGTCTTAAAAGTGTTAAAATTCTTTCACATACCGCTAGCGTTTGAGCATTTATTTTATAGTTACTTTCAACTCTCTCTACTAGAACACTCTTCATAAAATAATTCAGTACACAAGTCCAACAACTGTTGTTCTTGTAATGGGTTTTCCACGAATCGTATTGAAGTCCATCATTTTAAAATCTACCTGTATCTAGGGGAGGTGCAGAAAGAAGAGGGCTAGCATGGATTACGATGCTTCTGCTGGAGTAAGATGCTTAGTAGCTAATTGCCTCCTCACAAGAAAATCTTCCGGAGCGCACACAAGTCCTCTGCTCCATTCTTAAACTCAAGCATGACGACATCTGACTTTTGAGGATTTGGGATCTGTGCAAGGTAAGAATGTCAAGAAATTAGCTAATGGCGATGTCATTTGTCTTCAAATATTATTTTAATGGTGACTTAAATTCCAAATGTGAAGCGAGATCCTTTTTAGGTTGGCGAGTGAGCTCTAGCCCATCCCAGCTCCCTTTGGGGACACCCTGGACTGGTCGCCAGCCAATCGCAGGGCACACGTAGACAAACTATTCATGCTTACATTAAGACCTATGGACAATTTAGTTTTTGGTGAACCTAACATGCATGCTTTGGGAATGGGTGAGGAAGCGTATGCACAGAAGGACTCAGAACATCTCAACTCTGAGACAAGCATGCTAAGCGGTACACTACCGTGCTGCCCACATGTGAAAATTATACTTTTTTTTTTTTTGTTCCCCCTCAAATGTTTTACCATCCACTCTAGCCTTGATTAGGAAGATTTGAATACATTTGATTCCACTCTTGATGAAAAGTACAAAGACGCGAGCACTCATCAGCATCATCAGATTCCTCGCAGACAATGTAATTATCACTCAGCACAAATAGCAAGCAAGATGTCATCTCTCCCCCCCGTCTCGCTCGCTGTCCCTCTCAAGCTTTTTACTCTATTGATCTCACCCGGAAACAGGAAGATGAGACCCCGCTTTGGGAGTAATTTGGAGCGTCTCAAAAATCACTTAGCACATCATCCCCCACAGCCAGAATCAATGGAAGAGGCAGACCGGCTTCTCACTGCCCAACAACACTCTGTATATATACATATATAAACATATGTGTGTGCACACACAAATGTAACTACAAGGATATTTTAATGTGGAAAGTGCAACTGTGACTTACAATGTGTGCAAATAGAGCATCTCGCGTGGCAGAAAGCATAGATCTGCGTTTAACAAAACTAATTTATTACGCGGCCTGAAAAACGGATGTGTCGCTCCCCCCAAATGATTTAAAAGTCATACTTAGTTTAAACCAGTGCCCCACAAGCTATATAGAATAAAAGGTGTCATTTTGGTATAGGTTGGAAGCACTCTTTTTTTTTTTTTTTTTTTTTTTTTTTTTCTCCTTAATACATCTATCCACCCATCCATCCATCCATCTTCCGATCTGCTTTATCCTCACAAGAGTCGCGGGGGGTGCTGGAGTCGATCCCAACTGTCTTTGGGGAGTAGGCGGGGGACACCCTGAACCGGTTGCTGGCCAATTGCAGGGCACTCCTTAATACATTGCCAAGGTATTGAATGTAGACAGTAGATCCTCAAAATCAAGTGACTTGGATTCAGACTCAGGTGTGAAAAAAATGTCTATTTATTTTTCACACACACACACACACACACACACACCCGTATACACACACACACACACACACACACACACACACACACACACACACACACACACACACACACACACACACAGTACATGCGGACCTTCATTATTTGCGGGCCGACCCAGTCCCTATCCCCCACTGTATTTTTACCCCGGTACGTTTCCCCTAACCCAGTGGTTCTTCACGTGGGTTCGATAGAACCCCAGGGGTTCGGTGAGTCGGTCTCAAGGGTTCGACGGAGCCTCTGCCATGGAGGGTAAGACACACACGACTCAACATGTTAATTAGTTATGACACACCCACTTGGCCATCACTGGCTGCAGATGATCACATGACATTGCTTGTCCAATCATTGCTGCGAAATTTAGTTCGCTGAGTAGTCAACGTGTGACTGTTGTGAGAGTACGTCGTACAATAAAAAAATATATATATATATACTTCTTGAAATTTTATTTACTTTTTTCTGTTTTTAATAATTTATTTATGAATTTATTTTTATCTTGATTTTGTAAAATATATTTTTTTCACTCATGAAGGGTTCGGTGAATGTGCATATTAACTGGTTGGGTCCGGTACCTATGAAAAGGTAAAGAACCACTGCCCTAACCATTATAATCATGACTAGAAAATAAAAAATCGGAAGAAATTGTTCACAGATGCTCCACACGTATCTTCTCCTCTTCTGTGTATGGCACTGGTAATATTCACTGTCTCATCAGATTAGCAGTGAATTATCAACGGGCCATAAACAGAGTTGAGACAGAACCTCCATCAGAATCCTTTTGTCTGGGATTGTCCAAGTGTGTCTGCTCTACTTTGCCCATTTTGGCACCAGCACATTTTTGCTTTGCGTGTCTCTGCTTGAGCAGTTATGTATGGTGCCACTATAGGACAAGACGGACATCCGTCAGTGCTTGTGTTTTCTTTGACCTCATGTTGGTGTCTATGTCCAGTGGCCTCAGACAGGGCATTGAATGACAAACTACCAGGCTGATCAATTGCACGGTCTTTGGAAGAGTCTGTTGTTGCTGTTTCTGGATCTTTGCGAGGATGCAACCTGAAACCGTCCCGTCGCACAGGTCTGGATGACCTGGCGGCTCTCTTGCGGTGCTTGGCAATAGTAGAACTCACTCTGGTGGCGTGGAAGGGTCCGGTGGTTCTAGACTTGCCAAAAAACTGATGGAGAGACTACAACAGAGTTCCACACAGTCTGGCTTTTTTTTGGACAAACCGTTGATTGGTGAAGAAATACAGAATATACAAGTGACCAAAAAGGATTATGAGTGACGACAGGCGCATCAGCGAGGGCTTTGCAGATACCATCTCCCTCCTGAGTGGTCTGCAGTCTCAGAACAACATGACGACTACTGGAGGACATGACTAGATTGTCTTTTTAAGAAAATGACAGTCTTCAACTGACCATTTCCATGTGCCCACTCCTTATCAGTAATCTGTGCTCACCCTGGCCAACTTTGCATCATCCGCCTGTGCGGGTCTGCTTACAAACTTCCTTATAAATGTAATCAATCTCTTATCCCGCCATGTCAAAGACTGTGTACCTCTCTTGTGCCAAATTTAAAGGGAATGAGAGGAGATGCTTTTATTGGCTATGTTTACGCCCACAACAGCGCTAACCGCCCGCTTCGAACAGCGAGTCTCTATGAAAATACCAAAGGAATGGAAACTCCAACCATGCGCACCATTCGACTGCACTTTGTCCATAGATACCAATCAATCTAATAAATCAATCAAACGCTCAGTAAATAAATGACTTGGTCAGTTTTTAGTCCATCAATCAATCCATCAATACGTCAGCCAATACAGTGGTCAGTCAGATGGTATCTTGCTCAGTAGATCAATAGGTCAGTTAGCTACTCAATCATTCAATAAGTCAAGTTGATCAGTCGGTTAATTTTTTAATTAATCGAAAGTCATTCAGTTTCTCCAATCAGAAAATCACCAGTTGTTCAATAAGTCATTCATTCAGGATTAATTTATTGTTTTGTCTTTGTTTTTATATGTCTGATTTTACTTAATGTGCAGCACTTTCTATGCAGTTATGAAATAAAGTTGAAAATCGGTTCCTCAATCAATATATCAGTCAGTGAGTTACTCAGTAAGTCAGTTGCCGGTCAGTCTGTCAATCAGTCAGTAAGCCAGATTGACTGTCATTCAATCAACTAGCCAGTCAGTCAATTAATTGTCAATGAATAAGTCAGCATCGGTGGTTGATTCCCATTCATCCATCCACTGCATGCACAATGATTGAAAGGATCAATGGATGGATGGATGGATTGTGAAACGATCCTTCATTCGTACATCAATCAATCTATTCTTCCAACAACCTAACAGCCAACCAGTAAATGTTGAAATGATGACCATCCATTCATCAATCCACCCAGTAACAGAGCAACAATGTTTCCATTCAACCTGACCAATGAAATAGAGGAGGGAGAGGTCGGCTGACAGCTGCTACACGTGATTAGCGTGTGTAGTGATGCATCAAAAGCTCTTTAAGGAGAATCCCTGATTGGGAAGAGAGAAGGACACGCACACACATTCACACGCACACACTGAATCCTGAGACTTCTTGGTTACTCCAGTGACCATCTGTCATTGAGCTTTACTAACCAATGGATTATCAACTGGTCACACACACACACATGGACGCACGAGTAATGCAAGAGAATAAGTGGCGTCATTAAAGTTGATTGCTTGTGTCGTGCTAAAGCCCTAATGACCGTTTTATGACCTTTTTGTACATTTGCATGAGCACTATACTGTAATGTTTGTTCCTAAATGTAATTGAGGGCCACAGGACTCTGGATAAGAGTGATGTAGAAATAATGCAGTATTATTAGGAGTTTGTTACTCAGACAGACAATAACTCAACGATAGAGGATAGCAGATGCCGATTGACGTGACGTGACTTAACCCAAACTCAACCCAAGCCCTCACCTTTGCAATGGTGAGTTCTGTACCCAGGAAGTCGTCTTGTTTTTCGACGTGGGTCAAAGGGGCTACAAAAAAATCAGCAGTAATGTCATTTCCTACATGCAGAAGCCCTCGACCCTCTGACGGACTTGCACTAATGATGTTACGCCGCTTTTGGATGCGGATGATTAATGAGACTGCAGAAAGAAGTGAAAACTGAGCTGGTGTAACCCAATTTGCAGACTGTCGGCTCAGTGATGGATGAAAGCTTTTAATACGAACGTTTATTTGAGTTGTGGGCATTTTTTTGGTGGGGGGGTTGTTTGTGTGAATGATATATGGAGCTTTTAAGGTGATATTTTATGGAAACTTGATTTTATAATGGCTTGTATGCTTTTACTGTATTTGAGTCTCTGGGTGTCACCTTTTGGCTAATTTACATGACAACAGCTTCACACCAATTTGTCCGCCCGGTGAAGAGCCAGAGCCATTTTCAAGCAATACTGTATACGGACGACACTTTCGAAATCATACTTATATACTTGTAGTTGGGTGAAAATGTTGTAGTTTGTTTTTGAAGACAAATATTTTTAAATTGAGCTTTTTTGTGTTCAATGACCTCTTTGGCTTCTTCAATTAACATTTGATTTTGTTTCCATATCAGACTCTAAATGCCTTTTAGGGACAACGGTTCCTAATTTATCACGTTATCAGATTACAGGTTATCATTATTGGTGCATGGAAGGGTTAAATTAGAATACTCTCATAAAATTACAAATCAGTCAGTTGTTCGAATAGTGCCCTGACCTGCCCATACTGGTGACAACAAAAATTGTACTAGTACAGGGGTGTCAAACATACGGCCCGCGGGCCAGAACCGGCCCCCAAGGAGGTTTGATCCGGCCCGCGGGATGATTTAAAAGTGAAAAAAAAATGCATGAAAGACACAGAATGAATATTTTAAATAAAATGAAATTCGTGGATTATCCGCTAGGGGGCACCCTGTTTTGATCACAGTAAAAGACAACATTGTTTTGATCGGGGAAGAAAACAGCAGTCTCAGTCTGTCACTGAGATAGACCCAACGCAGCAAATGATATGAAAGCACCATTCAATGCTTCTTGAGACCAAAACAAAGGAAAGAGATGATATTTTGGTGATTCATAGCACAGTATGGTATAATGTTAATGGTCTGGCCCACTTGACATCTACCGAGTCCGTATGTGGCCCACAATGTGAAATGAGTTTGACACCCCTGTACTAGTACATGGACCTTAAGATGCTAATTTGTATTTTGGGGGATTCTCTGTGTAATGTCAAATGACAGCGTGAGCGCCACCTGTCTGTCAGACTGAGACTGTGTCCCAATGCTGCAAATGGTAAACCTTATCAATAATACTCCGGGACCAACAATCATTGTGATAAACATATCGGCAACTTTATTTTATTGACCTTTAACCACATATTGCTAATCAGTTCATATAGTGCTCACAAAGACTTCGGGAGATTGGGTTGTTCCACCTCCATGCATTTCTGACATCTGGATTATGGCCTGTTTTACTGCCACTTCTCTTCTGCCCTCCCCTCACTCCTGCCTAAAAGACTGCTCTTGGCCAGCCTGCTAATAATTCTCTGACAGCTTTAGAAAGTTAACATTGCATGACAGCAACTAATTTCCACATTCCCATTTCAACAAACCGATGAATTCTTTTGAATAAAAAATAGAACCTACATACACAGTATATATTTCTAACCTTTTATTATCCCTTCATGAGTGCACTGTGATAAATGTAGACTTCAAGGAAATATTCAGAGTAATAACATCACATAAACAGGTTGTCTTCGGAGTCCAGGTGTCAATACCTGCCTCAAAAAAGGTTTTAGTGAGCCACAAAAAATTGTAAAAATGTAATGTTTTGTGTGTGTGTGTGTGTGTGTGTGTGTGTGTGTGTGTGTGTGTTTATGTCACCTGTAATAGTTGGGTTTAAAGGGTCCATGCTTGCCGATGCCCAAGTACTTGGTCTGCTCGTCAGTCAGCTCAGTGAGGTGAGCTTCAAAGCCAGGAAGGTGAAGACTGGCCACATATTCATCTGTGAAAATAAATATTCACATTTCATAACTAGGGGGATTTTGTGTTCATATCAATATCAATTAACATTAAAGAACTTGCCCATCTTTTTTGGCAGCAGGTAGACATCCCGTTTGTAACGTCCTTCTGGAGCATTGTACAGCTCAATGAGGGCCAGAGCCTGAACATTTAGGAGTGGCAGTCAAAATTCCACTGCTTTGCTTCTTATTTGGAGAACTGTGCGAGCACCAGCATCTTCCTTTGCTCCAAGTGATGTTATGCCTTATCCCATTTCTTGATTGTTAGGGAGTGTGAACAGACTTTAAGGATTATTTAGTACGTTCAAAAGTACTGTACAATTTCTGAACCACTGCCTCCACAAGTTAATTGCTTTGATTGTTTTTTGTGGGTGCTCGCTTTTCAGCGGTGACACATGAAAGAAAAAAATGCATCCTATGTCTCCTTGAACCAACCACGAGTCAAGAGTAGAATCTCTAATCATCTCCATTCACAATACTTGCACTTTTGTCCACAGAATAAAGAGCAATAAGTGTGTGTGCGGGTCACACACCTGAGTAGTGGCAGTGACGGACAGGACAAAGGGGGGCACAGTGGAGCAGCTCAGATTCAGCAAACGACCCTGAAGTGAGAATAAGAGAGACAAGAGACACCTGCAGTCGTTGGTCATCTTATACGATCCACATCTCATTCATCAAATCAGACAGCAGGCTAATTAAAGCAGTTAGGTAGACCCACGTAAACCGGGAAGCTCAATGACACGTACGCTAATGCTAGCTGCTTTATTTAGCAAAAACTAGTTGATTTTTTGACTTGAAATCACCATGTTACAATTTGGCAGAAAAAAAAAGATTATTTTATCCAAGACACTTGACGGTGTTTATTTCTTATTTAGGTGTACTTACTTTTTGAGTTTTGATGTGAGGTGAAAACATCACGTGTTTATCCTCAATGATCATTGGTTAGTTGAATTGATTTACTGAACATCGCATCTGCCCAATCAGAGGACAGATTCAAGTAGGTTGGATGACCCATGAAAAGCATGATGCTCATTCGCCCATTTAAAGTTTTCCTGCTTAATATAGGACAAACCACACCATTTGATGATTGAAACTCACTCGGAAACATTTTTGGGAGTAAAATTTACAATTCTGCCATGGATTTTTTTAAAACCTCGTATAACATATGACAGATCTTATCCCACTTGATGGCGCATATTTCTTATTTAAGTGTATTTATATTTTTTACTATGCGTTTTAATGTGACATAAAATGCCATGTCTCATTTTCATGGTCATTAGTCGTTTTAAAAGATTCACATATCATCCATCCGATCATGGGAGAGATGAACTAAACCCCACTTAAACCACAAAGCTTCATAACCCATTTGCCGATTTTAGGTTTCAGATACACTACACTACTCATCAACCCTAAATAAGTCGGGCTCAGGTGTTCTTGGGTGTCGTCTGCTTCATGGGTTACATTTCTATCGTAGCTGGTATAGATCAACAGTTTAGTGGCATCACCTCGGCAAGCAGGACGATTCTCCTTCCATCTGGCCATACGATGTGGTCCACCTGAGGTCTCACGCGCTCCCACCGCAGCTCTTCAGTACGCAGACTCGCCTGACAAAACACAACAACAAGCCGTTGTCTTCGTATCATAAAGTTTTTCTCAGCAGCACTGCTTCCACTACATTATGTGGAAGTTGGACTTTTGGTTTTTTTCGTCCAATCAGATTTCAATTTCCTTACGTTGCCATGTCAATGGAATCTGCCCAGGGCCTTCAGAATTAGTAGTGCTGGCTGATGCAACTTGAACACTTTTCCCAATGGCAATTGGAGTGTTTTTCGAAGCAATCACATTTTAAATTTGTCCTCACAGCTAACGTCAGCATATTTTCACACTGTGGTGCATCAGAGCAAAATTTGCCACATCCCAGTTTGACCAGCAAAACACGTCTGTTGTGATCTGGACATTCTATGACATTAAACAGCAAATTTTAATCAAAGATGGCTTGATGTGTCCCCTGATATAGTTTGGACACTAATTTTGAAAGTGGCCTTGACTTTTTTTCGAGGACACCAGGCTTTTAATGGATTTTCATATTTTGTTTTTAAACTTCACCTAATAAGCTTGCGCAATATGGATTATACCATGCGTTGAAATTTAAAGCTATGGACTTTCAGAAAAAAATTCCACCTGTTGCACAACGTGACTGAATTCATATGCATTACAAAATATATGGAAATACATTAAAAAAAGACTTGAAAATCTGAATTGCTAGAGAGAAAACACGGGCAGATTCAGAATCTGCAAAAAAAAAAAATCATCTAGAAAAGTTTAATTGCATCTCAGATTTAGAAAAAATTCATTTTATATATTTTTGTCATGCCTTGTCATTGGCTGAAGACCAGTCCAGAGTGAACTGCGTTCCCGCGCAAATATCAGATCATACCAAATCTATTTCTGTGTTGGAGTGCCCCATATTGCAGACGATGCAGCCATTCTTCATCCTGTCCAAATGTTCCCTGGCCACCACGTGTTTGTTACCTGAGTGGGAAAACAATTAAAGGGTTCATGGTGGAATATTTGAAATGGAGAAATGATGATTTGAGGAAATTAGTTTGTGGTATGCTATATGAAGTCGATGTGAAGCATTATAAAGCGGACATTAGTGTATCAAAACCATCCCTCTCAAAGCTAGGTCGGCATCAGGGCTAGCCCTAGGCAATTGTATCCCTAAAACAATTACAGTACACTTCCGGTTCATCATTTTGATTCTGGTTTCAACAGCCTGTGCCGTTTGTCTGCATTGTACTACAGTACAGCATTTACTTTCTACACTGGTTAGTAACAAAGAGAAAAGCAGTTTGTTCTCATCTGTCATCATTCGGTAGGACTATTGGTCGGCCTAAAATTCTGAAAATTTATTGTTTTGCTTAATTACCCAGTTGATTTTTTTCGTATACCGTACATCCTTTCTCTTATTTTGGAGTATGTGGCCCTTGGAAGAAAATGTTGGCACACTCCTGACGTAAATGCCAAAGCCAATCAGTTATTTTCAGATGAAATACTGTGAACTTGTCAATAAATGTAATTCTGTTCATTTGTAACTTTTAAAAATGTTACAAATTACAAAATTGGGAATTTCCCACAGGGTTATTGTTCACAGTATCAGTATCAAACCTATACACTTGAATTTACGTTATTTATTTTATCTTCACAAGAGTATATATTACACTTTCAAGAATTATTTATCGTGTAATTATCCATCCATCTTTCCATCCATCCATTTTCCGATCTGCTTGATCCTCAAAAGGATCCTGGAGCCTATCCCAGCTGCCTTTGGGCAGTAGGCGGGGGACACCCTGAACTGGGTGCCAGTCAATCGCAGGGCACACAAGGACGAACAACCATTCAACTATGTACATTGCTTATCCCAGTCAGCAGACGGGGCATCGAAACGGGGAACCGGAATTTTAAAATGTGAATCATTCCGGGAGAATTGGAATGTTACTCACAATTCCAATCGATTCTCGAGATCCGATGCCCAACCCAAGGCTCCTTAGTGTAAGTTGTCTTATATTTATTGAATCCACTGTAGTAGGTTTACACAGAGCCAGCCAGTGGCATAAAAAGTTTATTAATGTGGGAAAAATATTAATGATTGGCATAACAGACACGTAGGTATGGTGGCCCTGTGGGTCCTCATTAATCTTTTGGACCGAAATACATTTCAGTGTCTGAATGTTTCTACGTAAAGGAGTTGAATCAGTACTTCTGCTAACTAGAGTGATTTTTTTACACAAATATCCATATCAAATACAGAATGAGAGCACTTTTGCAACTTTGAGCTGTAACACAGGACAGGTCTGTGTCTATGTAACATTAGTGTACATGTGTACCTGTGCAGGTGATGACCACATCAACGTGTTGGACAACTTCACTCAGCTGGATCACTCTGAAGCCGTCCATGCTATAAAAATGTGGCAGAGGTGTCAAATTCATTGAGATCCATTGAGGACATTTCCTGGTTGCTTAGCTAGAAATTTGCCTGTTTTCGTAGTTTAGCATACCAGGCCTGGAGGGCACAGATGGGGTCCACTTCTGTTACGTACACAACAGCACCCAACGCTTTTAGGGCGGCACAGCAACCTTTGCCAACCTGGCACAAGAAATTAATTCGAACAGTCTCTTATGTAGCTCGGGGCAAGTGTCAGCCCGAGCCAATGTGGCAAGAGCTCGATGGCGCCCCCTCTGTTGGTGGTTATTCATAAACTTACCAAACCAAAAAAATTGGGAACATTGTTTTTCCCTTTTTTTGAAATCACAGGAGAACATCTCACCAGAATTACATGCTTAACAAGTAACAAACGAATGCAAACTTGCAAATTCAAAGTTACGAAACGTCTGCATTCTATTTTATTATGTTATTACTGTATATTTATTGTAATGTAGTAGAATACTATGAAGTGTGTTTTTTCACATAAAAATCTACTTTTTTTTTGGTTGCTCTTTATTGTTAGAACACATTAATGGCAATTCGTTTCAATGGGGAAAGTCGATTTGAGATACGACTGATTTGAGTTAGCCACAACTCTGGAATGAATTGAAGTTCTAAGTCAAGTAGGTGTTCATCTATGTATGCCTGTGACATGTAGTGACAGGCAGAAAAATGAAATGCTCTTCCAATGATTGACCCTTTCATCCACTTCTGTGCCATTTTTGTTTGGCGTAGCATGAAAAGGTCTGCCACACACACACACACACACACACACACACACACACACACACACACACACACACACACACACACACACACACATTCATGTTCACTGACCTCACCGTATCCACAGACGAGCACCTGCTTGCCACCAAACATCATGTCTGTGGTTCTCTTCAACCTGAAAGCAGCGCAGTCAGTCACCTGTGTCAGTGTGAGCATTTGTGTGTGTGTGTTTGTGTGTTCCTAAATACTATGATCGCTTACCCATCCAATATCAACTCCTTGCAACAGTAGAGAGTGTCAAACTTCTGCTTGGTCACTGAATCGTTGACGTTCATGGCAGGAACACACAACTTGCCGGCCTTGGATAGCTGGTACAAGCTGATGCAAAACATGTGCGACATGAGACATGAAAGTAAAATAAATCTCCATCTTTCTGCTGTTTGACAGTGGTGCCTTGACGTACGAGTGCCTTGAGTTCTGAGTACTTGGAGCTTAGTGGGGAACCGTCGATTATTTAAAACTCATAAACACGAATATAGTTACTGAATAGAACCTGAACTAACCGATAAACTCCTGTGACGCTTTCTTCCACAATGCCTCGAATGTTCTTGAACAGGGTCGGGTACTTCTTGTAGAGCCAGTGGGTCAGGTCGCCGCCGTCATCCAGAACCTGGCCACAGCGAATAGACAGGTGCTTTTCATCAACAACTATTTAAAGACCGCGACCCTTATGAGGATAAAGCGGATCGGAAAATGGATGGATGGATGGAGTATTTAAAGAGCTACATTAAAAGTGACTGTTGTACCACATTGGGTTCCCATATCTCAGCACCAATGCAGCGGTCGATGCACCACCAGAAGTC